AAATTCTGCACAATCTTTTCTTCAGAAACCCATGGTCAAGAAACATTTTGAGTTGCTGAATAGACTCTTTCCAAAAGCTTCTTAGTCCTCATGTCCCGGGGTGGCTCACAAGCCGCAGGCCTTGTCGGACCTTCTCATGAAGTCAAGACTTCCCAGACACAGTGGACAGCAACCCCGGTTTCCCACAGTCGGCCTCAGCCCTGTGAATCACCTACCTCCCATTCCTGGACCGAGAGGAGCAAGTCAGAGGGCACGCCTGGAAATCCGGTTCCACCACTCCTCTGGGCAATAATAATCTCTCAAATCTGTTTCTTCATCTACAAAATGGGGTAATAACCGTGCTGGCTCTCTGAGGGTTGCTGTGAGGATGAAGGAGGTGGGCATACAAACTTTTAGCACGACCCCTCGCACAGAATAGGTGCTACAATTTAGATTTATTGGGTGTATTTCTCCCAGTGATGTTTAAAAACGACTGATGAAAATTATTGAGAACCTACTATGTGCCAGGCACTAAGCTCAGTGCTTCCTCTTAAATGTATGATGTCATTAAATCTTTCTATTTGGTAGAGAATATATATATATATATATATTTTCATTTATTTTTGTTACAGATGTTTCTCTTTTTCCCCCCATTGACACCCTCCTCCCAGCTCCACCCCCCTCTCCCAGCATTGTTGTCTATGTCCATTGGCTATGCATATATGCATATAAGTTTTTTGGTTTATCTCTTCCCACCCCCACCCCCTCCTCTGAGGTTTGTCAGTCTTGGTAGAGAATATTAATTATCCTTATTTCACAAAAGGAGCCGAGGCTCAGAGTTTAAGAAACCTCGTTATACTCGCCTACATTTGTTGTGAGCATTAAATGAGATGATTGTAAAGCGTGTCCGTAGTACAGTCCAGAGTATGCCATAATCTGTCCATCACCAGGGTCTTGTTAGAAATGACTCTGTGATTGTCCACCGTAACAGACCCTGTGCGGCAGTTGCCCACCCAGCACCTGTTCTCCCTCTCATCCATGCACAATCAGTTTTGTGTGAGGTGGCCACATGCCCCATTTTCCCCAACCTCCTCTCTTTCTTTGGAAGTTCATGTGACCTCGTTCTGCCAATGGGAGACAACTGTAAGTCCCCTAAATGGGCATTTGGGAAAACTACTACGATCCCAAGAAAATGAGCTTCATCCAGCACAAGGCTTTTCGTTTTTGTCTGTCCCCAACTTCACTGCCTGGAACGCACAAGGACATCCCCAAGTACAGCTGCCATCCTGCAGGCACGAAGACCAAAGGCCCATGTCCAGTATGGCAAAGCAAGAAGCAGCCCCCAGACACCCGATGGCCCACTAGGGGTCCTGTCCCAGCCCTGGACCACCAGACTCCAAACGGTTTCCCCATTGCGGTTAAGCCACCATGGCCAGCTTTCTACCATGAGCAGCTGATGACAATCCAGACGAATACAACCTCCGTTTGGGTGATCTGTCTGAATGCAATGACATTTTCAAATGCATGGAAATTAAGAATTTGAAGTATCTTCTTTCCTTCTATCTGTCTACATGTTTCAACTGAGATGACAAAGAAAATGAAAGGCTGGTTTCCAACTGTCTCTCTATGCGCATCATTCTCAGCCCTTCTGAGAAACATCAAAGCTTTTCCTGAACATCCAAGTGTCAGATTCCTAATCACATTCTCCCTCCTTCCCTCTAACATGGTGTCAGAGGTGGTGTCACTGACAGGGTTCCCATGGGTCAACGGCATCTTGCATTTGGGGTCTGAGGACACTGTTCCCAAGGCCTGGCTCCAGGCCAGCCTCACCCAGCTCTGAACTGAGTGATCCGTCTGTAAAACCTGAGGCATCTGCTCTGGCATCTCGGTCAAAGTCCAAAGGCCGTAATTGCACCCGGCCTGCTTGTGAGCTCTAATTAGGTAGTGTTTATTTTCTATCCAAAAAAGATTATCCCAACATTACTCTACACGTTAGAACAGCGAGGGGTCCAAGGAGCATCGCACTGTGACACACAATGATCACGAGGTGGGGTCCAGAGGCTTCCTCGGGCGTCAGGCCGAGTCAGCTGGGATAGCAGCTTCCAACTTGGAGGAAGCTCAGCGCACCAGAGGGATTAAACTGGTGGGTCTGTGCTCTTACGGGGAAATAATATGCCCATATTTCCACTTACTTTAAATGACTTCTAAGGTGATGTCAGATGAAAAGAGGATTGAACTCCAGTCAAAATATAACCCACAAGGAAAACAAAAATTAAATTCCTTCTAATGTAAAGTATACTGCCTTCATATTGCATGGTACATGGCTTTTTATATTCTAAGCTATGAATAACCCATGCTTTGCCTTGCTTAAAGAAATATCCTGAAAGGTGAAAAATTTTAATTACCTAATGTGCAAAATTGCTTTACTAAAATGATACAACTCAATGGTAAAATAAAAGACACTCAGAAAATAATTAAAATAATCCTCCTTTTGATTCCATTAGGAGAGGCACACACTTTCAATGGCTAAAATTATGTTATATTCAAATAAAGATCCACACTCACAAGGAAGAGAAAATCTCTAATAATTTATTTGACCTTCAGTTTCACATTGTGAAAAAAAAGTTTTACAAAACCTCAAAAATGTAGTAGTAGGAAACAAGTACATATGAACATGAACACTTTACTTCTTCAACTTACACAGAGTTTTGTACGTGAACCACATATTTAATAGCCAAGAGAGGGATATTATTCAGCTCTAATCACTCTTATTCAGACAGGTGTCAAGCCCAGAGAAAAGGGGACTACACAATTAGACCAGAAGTGGAAGGCTGCCCTTTGTTATCCGTTTCCACAGCAACCCATCCACAGAATACGAAGAACCTTCTCTGTCTTATGCCAAGGTTTTTGTGTGCACTGTGCTGTGAATTGTATTTGCTTCAAAGTGTGGGACGTTTCACAGGGTGAGAATGGTCAAGTAGTGAGCCCAAATGCCTACATCAATTCAAAGAGCGGGAGCCCAGAAAGTTCCCTGCAGGCTAGGGGCCCACCCTGACCACGGCTCCCTCTGGCTCACACACAGTAATTAATTGAGGGTTCGAGGACAGACCACAACTCTGAAACAGCTGTAGAAAATGCATCCCGCTTTCAGAAGCCATGCAGTGACACACACATCTCAGCCCATTTGCATCATAAACTCCGGAGCGGTAACTGCTACAATCCGAGGAGCGACACCCGACTATGCGCCATTGTCCAGCTCGACATTTGCATTGCTCAGAACACATCCAGGAGCGAGAGACCAACTGCTGGGAAGGACGGATGCTTTTATTCCAACGGCTCATTTATTTTGGTCCAACTATAGCCCACTTATTCATGGCATGGACGGACACGTACAATCAGTCTAAAGTTTTCAGGTGCAGAGAAATGTAAAGGATTTATCTGTCATCAGACAATGCAAACACACTCACAATGTAAGAGGTTGTTATCAGTCTTAAACCTTATTTTCTAAAGTACAGTAATGTGAGAAACACCGATGAAAGGAGTGCGCGAGTCACAATCTCGGGGCTTCCCCAGACACCTCCGAGGGCGCGCACTTGATCTAATACTAACACCTACCACAGCACGTTTAGTAAACAAGCCCGCAAACTAGCAAAGAATGTATTCACAACCAGTTCCCAACTATCCCGGAAAACCTCCACAGTGGCCCCTGCTTACAACTCTTTGGTGTTTCGTGACCAAACGTGTCACTTTTGTGCACCAAAGAGTTATTTTAGAGACTTACCTGCAGGTGAGCACTAAGGTATACATTGTACCAACGTTCATATTGTCTTGGAGAACTTGTCACACTTGCTAAACTGTACAGCGAAGATAACAAATCCAGATCAAGCAAATTGGGTTGACTGAATTAATTTATGTCTGTGATAATTCAGTTTCCCCCCCGCTAACTGTGGTTATGGCAAAGCATTCTCAAAGGGTAATAAATAAATAAATATATAAACTTTGGACTATGTCTTCACCTGTGCCCTATATACAGAACTATTCCATAGAATTTTCCAGGATTTCAGGATATTACACAAAGAAAAAAAAAAAACTGCAAAGCTATTTGGTCCTTTCCAAATTTCAGTAGCCGAGACTGAAGGAGGCAAATCAGCTGGGAAGGAAAGGGGCAGAAAGAAGCCCTCCCTCACCCCATGAGCCATCAGCATGACCAGAGCCCATGAAACCCCATTAAACGTTGGCAAATCTACGAAATGTGACCTCCATGCTTTCTCTACCTCGAGGGTGTAATTTCAGTTTGTTCTGTAATCCTTCCCTGTCTTGACATTTACAAAATCCCTCCCCTTCCCAACCCACCCTCCAGTTATATTCCAAACTGTAACTCCAAAGTTTTCCTTTTGTGCTGCAAAGCACATCACAACAGCCACAAAATTGTGCAAAACATTCAACCATTCACACACGTCCATACACGTGAAGACAACTGTAAGCATTGTTTCAGCATGCAGGCATCAAACAATAAATAGCTAAATCTATAACAAATTTCTTAACAGCCAAGGGAAAGTTTAAAGTCACTTATAAATAGAAAAGAGCATCTACCAAACAGCTACCAACAATGTCCCCATTGTTCAGAAACCTGCCTGGGGAGCACAACCCCTCAAAGATGAGTGGAGCCCCGAGCTCCTCCTCTGCAGCCAGCACCAGCTTCCCTCCTGCCCCACGGTCGGGCTTTCAATCTCCAGCAGCAGCTGGCGTGGAGGCTTCAGGCTTGCTCCTCAGAGAGAGGTGACAACCATTTCAAATTTTACACATAAATGGTGGAGCCCATGGAAATCAAATGCTGAATATGGTACAGCAAGGGAAAAGGCCCGGCTTTTCTCTCCCTTTGAGGGGCTGATTAACGCTGACATTAATCCACAATTACAAGACAAGGACTAGATCACAGGTTCATTCATTCATATTTAAACCATGTGCTACTTGCACTGAAAATCCCACCCCTCCCCCACCCCCTTCCTTCATGTCCAGTTAGAGCATTTACGACGTGCAGCCAATTGTACAATCTGGGTCTTGTAGCAACTTCTTTTTCTTTTTTTCTTTCTCTTCATTAAATTTGGCCTCTCCAAAATTGAAATCACTTCTTGAGCTAAAAGAGAGGAACAAGATTTTTGTTAGTAGACCAAAATCTAAAAAAATAAAACTCAAGACAAAGCTACTCAATATTGCTTCTAAAGGTCTTAATTACACGTTCGGTAGGAACAGTGCAAAGAAGTGCTTGTCCTAAATGCACACACACATGCATGATGCATGCAGATGGCTGGTCTCACGGAAACAGTGGTGTCCAGAGAAGGGTCCCCACTTCTTTCCTGAACATGTATGTTCAAATTCAAACCTATACGTCTAGCTGCTGTTATCAGTTGCCATCTTCTGCTTCCAACATTCGTAATTCTTCTGTGTTTAAACAGAGACACTGGGAAACACTCACCAGAGGGTCAAGAAAGATTCCTGTGCAAACCTTCCTTAGCCCACTTACCATCAAGGACTCTAAATCAATTTATTCACCATAAAGATGGCAGACATATTAATCCTCTTATTTAAATGCATCTCTTCTATTCATTATGGCAGAAATCAGTCTCGCTTCCTTTTGTATGACAACATACCAGGCCTCAATAGCCCAAGGCTGGAGTTTATTCTCAAGTTCATCTGTCCACACTTGGGAGACACCAGCTATGATATGCAGTGTTACTACCTACAGAATCTACCAACGTCGAGTGTGAATATAAATTCAAGGTGCCATAACCATGAAGCCTGAACTTTTCATGGGAGCTGGCATTTACTCACACACACGACTCACACTTCCCCTTGGTTTCTGGTTAATCTGATATAGGGACATTTTGCAGATGGCCTGTCTTTCAAACACTCCCCCACACGGAGCACATTTCCAGCCCTGGTAGGAACCTGCCTCCCCACTGCTGTTGACAAAGTGAATTCAGGAGGGGCCACTCATTACTTGCATTGAATTCTTCCCGTTTTTGTGTGTTTAGGAGTCTGATTCATTTCATTAGCTGTTTCTTTTGGCAGTTTCATAACAGTGATTCAAACTGTTAAGGCATTCCTTAGACTACAGTGTCATTTCCCTACCCCCACCTCCTTATAGCCTATCTACCAACATTAGGCCCAATAATATAATATAAAAACACCAAAAGAAGAGAAAAACTCTAAAAAAGGAAGAAACAAAGCAAATCAAAGTCTAAATTCTGTCAGGTTGGGGCCACACAGCGCAGGAAAATGCAGACTAATCAAAAGTGATTTCCTTTTTGCCCCTCCCACCAGTTAACAGAGCAGCAGGAGCCAGTTAAAATCTCCTTGATGGATGAGCTTTCAGACCAGGACAACTTTCAGTTAACACTATCAATTCCTTTAGCACCTCCATTTGGAGAGCAGAGATGTCCCCGGGAGTTTTTGCAATTTAGGGCTGATGCCTACACAGCACCTCTTTTTCAGTCACCCATTCAGATTAAATGTTTTAACACTATCTCTGTGTAGTAAACTTTAGCAATTTAAACCAACATCCTCCCTGTGGGAAACTGCAAGAGTAGCTTTGATCAGGTCCACGCCACCCTTAAAAAGGAAACCCTGGCCCCCGGCCCCCATCCAATTTCCTAGTTATATGCTTGACTCTCTGGCTGGTAGCACCACCAAGGGTGGAAAGGATGTTATTTCACATAGAACCTAACACTTTATTTGATCCGTTTCTATGGCACCAGAAGTATGTGATGTGGTTCAAATATTCAGGATAGGATGAATTCAAGTGTTTACCAACATACTCTGGGCTGAGAAAAATGAGGCACCAGAAATGAAGTATAAAGATAACAAGACAGTAGTCAAGGAATCCTCATTTCCCCATCATGCACAAAGCTAATTCCACTGCAAGCTAAGCTCTAAAGGGAAGGAAGGAAAGAAACCTAGGAGTATTGAGCACTGAATATGTGCCGGGCACTGGGCTAGGTATTTACACCGTCCCACCTCCCCATTTATTAATTTACCCAAGTCTGAACTGGGACAGATCTTAGAAGAAGCATAATGCAAATTACGCATTTGACAAAGGAACAAAATCCAGAAAGGTCCAGACTCTAGCTTAGAACCAGAACCAGAATGCGCATGTGATCTCTTTCTGCCTCAACTTCCTTACCTTGCTCCAAGGATGCCAACCATTCCACCAGTTACATTTGGAACCACCGCCACCACTGGCGATTTTTATGGCTCCCCTACGCAAGTACAGTCGGTTCTGGACTAACACCCAACTCCGTGTGCTGGTAATTGATGCTTTACCCTAGGAGGTTCTTTAAACCAGCTTTAGAGGTGAGTCACGCATTCATATCACAAATGAAATAACCACTCTCAGAGCATTTGTTTATTCAGGATTACTGAGATGCCAGGAAGGCTGCAAAAACCAGTTTGGTGTGGGATGCTGTTAGCCAAGTCGCTCCCCAGAGGAGGCTTCTCACTGTTCCTGCGCCTTTGAAGGAGTTTCATTCCGAGGAAACATTACATTGCTAAGAACTCTACTAACTGGAATAGGCTGGAGGAGATAACTGCAGAAATGAAATAAATAGAAAGATTAAGTGTGAAAGTGAGGCCGATTTTCACGGTGTTTTTAAATGAGCTGTGAGAGATGAGGAAAGAAAAGACAAATGAGTCAAAACCCCACTTTGCTTAGCTTGCAACGACCCCGACTTCTTTTTCTCCTTTTGAAAATTCCCTTCAAAGGTATGAAATATATGAGGGAAAACAGAGCCAACAGTTTCCCAGTGAAGAGTTACTTCTCATTGTAAGTCCTCCAAAGCAGGGTTTTAATTTTATTCTTTTATTAGTAATGGGATAAGCCCATGAATTACCCCAAACAAACCAACACACTGTGTGCTCTGTGCTGCCGCCTTTAGACATGCTTAAGTGATTCCTGGGGCCAATCCTTGAACACCTAACAGCAGCAAAGCGGCCATCAGCTTCGCGAACACTGAACTGTGTAGGCCTATTAATTATTTGAGCCAAGAGTATTATACACTCTTAAGTACACAAGACAACCATTATGTACTCAGATATATGACACAGAAACACAACTTTTGTTAGCCCGGACAATAGGGTCAGCCTGTCTGATTAACTCTGAAAGGCTGCTGTACGAGGAGCGTAGATGGCTCAGTGTGTCCACACGGCAGACACATGTCTACAGCGCAGGTGCGGCCTTTGACAGGAGCAGACCTAAATTCTCCTCCAAAGTGAATACATTTGAGAAAAAAAATTAGATAAGCTAATAAATACTTTTTGAGAAAATAAACTAAGAATACATTTAAGCATTCAATTTTTTAAACCGCACTTCATTCCAGAAAGGGTCTAAGGAAGCTAAATTTGGATATCGACAACTATCTCCTAGGGTGACACCAAGGAGGAGCTGAAGGTGACCAAGTGGCAGTTCAGCATGATGCCCGGGTGCCTGTGCTCTGGAGCCAGGCTGCCTGGGAGGGTTTCTTGACCAATTCTTCCACCTACTAAGCTCTATTACCTTAGGCAACTGAACCTCTGTGTGCATGAGGTGTTTTCTTCTATAAAGTGCTCTAGTAATATCTCACAAGGCTGTTGTGAGGATTAAATGAAATGACCCATGCGAACACACAGCCCAGCTCCAGACATACTGTGACGGCCCCCTGAATACTAGTTGGCATTATTAACATAACCCCTAACACAAGTCAGGGGTTCTCAATCTGGTGTACAATCACTGGAAAACTTTCTAAAAATGCGGATTCCTGGGCCCCAACCAGACCTGAGAACCACTGGCTGATGTATGTTATCGTGGGGGTTGGGGTGCAGCTGTGTTTCAGTTCTAGGGTACGACTTCTTTTATTTTTATAGTTCTTGCAGTACTTCCAGAGGCCAGGCTCTGGGGACCACGCCTCACTCCACACACAAACTTACACAACTGGCTTAACCAACGCACACTTGCAGCGAAACTCCTTCTTACCAGGCTCACTCGCTTCAGGACGCGCCGCGTTCACGAAGGCAGATGCTTCCAGGTGCTGACAAACGCAGTCGGGATCAGCGAGTACGGGACCGTGGTTATGCTGTTCCACACATCTAGCGTTGGATCGTAGCAGTCCAGGGTTTTGCATCGCTGAATGCCAAAGTATCCCCCCACCACATAGAGTTTGTTTCCGGAGGCCACAGCGTGGCAGCTCATGCGCTTCGCGGTCACGTCTCCCACCTTGGTCCACTGGTAAGTCTCACTGTTGAATTTATAAGCAGAGCAGGCGGAGAACTCTGTGTCTCCCCCCATAATAAAAATCTGGTTACCCAGCACAGCTGCTGCTGTGTAACGCCAGGGCTGGGGACAGGTGGCCGGTACCGTCCACCTGTTTTCACATTGGTCGTAACACTGAACCTTGGGGAGCTTGTCGTGACTGACGCTGGTGCCTCCGAAAGCAAACAGCTTGAGTTTGGCACTCACTACCGCAGCATTGCTAACGCCTTCTCGGAGTGGGGCCACCATGGTCCATTTGTTGGTTGTGGGGTCGTAATGTTCTACTTGCTTTAGAGAGACGGAGGGGGAGGCTGGGAGGCAGCCAGTGGCAGCCGTGTGGCCCCCGACCACATACAGGCAGTGTTTCAGTTCAGCAGAGCCATGGCCAAACCTGGCCACCAGCATGGGCGCGGCTTTGGACCACTCCTCATGCAGGGTGTCGTAAACCCAGACATCTTTTGAGACTCCATTCTCAGACCCCCGGCCCCCAGTAATATACACTTTGCAGCCAATGGCACACGCACTGAACTCTTTTCTTGGGCTGGGGATGTCGGCCTTGGGAATGATTTCTTTGGCCTTCTGGTCTACCAGATACAGCTTATCACACATGAAAGTCTGCCCTCCCAAGAGGAACAGGGCATGGCCAGTTTTCCGAGGCCGGGCACAGAGGCTGGTTACCACGCCATCGTTCTGCAGGATCTTCAGCTTGCACCTGATGGCCTCTTCCACAATCTCCTTGCTCTTTCTCTGCTTGGTGATGAGTTCCTCCATGGCCACGTTCTCCATGAGATAGATGGCTGGCAGGAGAGCCAGCCTCACTGTCTGCAACAGCTCTGGGAGGTAGCAGTAGCGCTTCTTCAGGTCGTAGCTGATCCAGTTAATTGCAGACTCGTACACGAGCCTTTCATCTTCTGTCTCCAGCTCTTCACTGGACAAGAGCTGCACTACCATGTCCTGGGGCAGCTGGAGGAAATCTTCATTCTTCCTGATGGTTTGAAAATTGCTGAGACACATTCTCCAGGAGAGTTCGTACAGCTTGGTGCACTGGTGCGCGTCAGATAGCAGCAGCATGCCCAGGCAGTTGGTGGGATGCAGGTTCTTTTCCAGGAACTCTGCACAGGCATCCCGGATGTCTTGAAACTCCAGCATGTCGCCAGCTTCCAGGAGTGATTCTGCGTTTTCTTCATTGATGATGACCCGGGAGGAGTACGCATAGTCAAGAAGCAGCTCCAAGACTTCAGGGTGGATGGAGTTGTCGAAATTGACTTCGCTGTCCTGGCTCTCTTTCAGGCCACCACTGAACATGGCTTCAAAGTAGCGGCTGCATGCAGCCAGCACTGCCCGGTGACACGGGAAGGTCCTGTTTCCCGCATGGAGAAGGACATCGGTGAAGAGGCGCTGCTGCCGCAGAAGGTTCAGGTGAGTGAGGACGCTGTCGGCGTAGGAAGACTTGTGAAACAGATAGATGTTAATGGAGCCACTGCTGGCCCTGGACTTGCGGTTCTCATGCACGCTGACTGACATTTTGTTTCCACTCCTAAAAGAAAAACAAAAACAAAACCATTGAGCAGGTGCTCCTGATGTGTAAAACAGCAGAACAAAGCAGCAGTCCTTTAGGACAGAGAAAACAACATTTTGTTAGCTCTACTGCCTACTGTTCTGAATCATGGATGGCCAATTCTACACAAAGGCAGAGACAGCTACCTATAAGGAGAGGCATTCGTGGTCATACTGTTGAGCTATCTGAACTATACACTGTTTTTAAAAAATCCCTGCTTGAAAGCAGGTTCATCTTGGAAAACCTGACTGCCAACTTGGAGGATATTGAAGTCCTTGAGAAGTGTATGTCAGCACAAGCCAGGAGGAGTGAGGTCTCATTCTCACAGCTCCGTCCTTGTCCAGCTGATTCACTGTGGGCCACTTAAAATGCCAGGCCTCCAGCTCTCGTAATGCCAGGATAGGCACCAGCTATAATGACCTATGCAACATAAAGCCATGTGTAAAACAAATACCTACTAATTAATTCCATTAAGAATTCCTTTGGTAAGATCAGGTCTCCCTGCAATATACAATAAGTGGGAAATGTAACACTGAAATCACAGGCTGAGGCAACTTCTCCAATGACAGTACCCTTATTTAAATGTTACAAATCATTTCTAACCAGACAACCCTACCACTACAGAGTCCTAAAAGCAGCCTAATAGAAACGTTACCATATATTGATCAGCAGGCTTTGGTGAAAACACAGAATAGATTCTAATCACAACCACCATCCATCTTCCTTGCTCTGGACAGCTTCCAAAATGAGGATTTGGGCACATAAAATGAAGAGTCTTTTGAGTAGCATACTCATGAGTGCTGTTTTCTGTTCTTCCTGCTTTATATCAATTCTTGGAAAACCAGTAGCAAGAACAAAAGATCTATCCGCACCTCTCTTTTGATTAGATAGTGCATCGCCAGGACCATTCTTGTGTACCTGCTAATGCTAGCATCTGCACATAGGAAGTTAAGATGCAAGCATTGCTTTGTCTAAATCAAAACACACACGTGTGTGTATGTATATATACATGTGTGTATGTGTGTGTTCTGCCAGCCATTGTTAATTTCAGGCCACCTCAGAATTTATTTGCTGACTAAAGTGTTTTTCTCTCAGTACCTAAATTGAAATTATAGCAGAATCTAATGCTATCTTGAGATATCCTAAGTAAATTGTAGGCTAAAGGTATAGGAAATCCCTTATTACCTATCTTCAAAAATTGCATCACATGCTTTAAAAAAAAACAAAAACACAAAAAAAAAAAACAGAAACACACACACACAAAACCTACTTCTCTTTTACTTCAAAGGAATAAAGGCATCAAGCATCTGCCTGTCAAAGGATTCCTAAGTACGCTGTTTACTCCAGGAGAGTAAACTGGGTGGTTACAGTATCTATTTCAAACTCAGAACAGCCAGTCCTTATAGCACAGTTGAAACCCAAGGCCGGCTTGTTTCTTTCAATCATTCAGATATTAGTTTTTAATTTATATCCTAGGAATTATCAATAAATGCAAATGAGTAGCTTACCACAGATTCATGGGCTGGGTAATAAACTGTACTTCCCTGACCAGCTGTGTCACAGAAAACAAAAGCAGGTGACTATCTTGCCCTTAATACACAGACCACATACCATTAGATGATGCAATTTGTTTTCCTTTATTTTTGGAATGTAACTTTTTGTTATGAGTAAATATGGTTTAGTGGAAGAAAATAAGCAACAAAGTCCCAGTCTCTGGTGTTACAAAGACTTCACAAACACCCATTAGTCTCCTAAATATAACAAATGGTGAGGAGCCAAGCCTCACCCCCACCTCAAGCTAAGCCTCCACAAGCCTAGTCCTTTTCTAACCAGTGCTCAATGCTGCAGAAAACGGGTATGAGCCTATGTGAATACACCAGGCTTCCAAAGTGTTAAAACATCTATTGGCATCACTGACGCTCTACCACTGTAGCTGTCGTTTGAATTAGTACATTCCATCTGCAGCACTTTGAGGAAGATTTTTAAGCTTGAACCTTAAAAGGTGGTATATGCTTACAAAAATTTCAAATGAGTAGCTACATCAATTATTATTATTATTTATTTATTTTATCCTCACCCGAGGACATTTTTCCATTTTTTGTTCAGACAGAGTGGGAGGGAGTAGAAGAGAGAGAGAGAAACATTGACATGAAAGGGACCCATCGAGTGGCTGCCACCCGCATGACCCAACCAGGGCCGGGGACAAACTGCAACCAAGATACGTGCCCTTAGTGGGAACCGAACCCGGGTCTCTCTGGACCACAGGACAACGCTCCAACCACTGAGCCAAACCAGCCAGGGCATTATTATTATTTTTTAAAGCTAATGCTTCCAAAGCAACCTCAAAAGCTGTCTTCTTTCAGGCTAAGAGCAAATGCAGCTCTGACTAAAGAATGAGAGACCTACACACAAGGTGCATAAGCACCATGAGCAAGCACATGGGGTAGTAATCCCAGGAGCCTAGAAATCGGTTCCCTGAGAATTAGATACCAGTGATGGGCACCACGACTCACAACCAGGCCTACACTTAAGAAAACTTAAGAAGATCTTAGGATCTTCTATACATCCTGTGTTGTATAGAATCTTCTATACATCCTGTGTTGATGCACCTGTATTTTCCAGGTTGGCCCATAAAGCCAGAAGGAGGAACCTAGCCTGTCATCTTGGATAACATCCAGATGGAGAAGCATGTCACAGTCAAAACCCATCATTCTTGCAGCAATATTAAATTAAAAGGTACACTTGAAGGCCCACGGGAAAAGTTGCTTTCTGGTTTAAAATTAGCAAGCATCCAAATATCAGCAGAAATCATTTAGTCACTAAGCACACCTTCAACATAAAATGACTCACTCTTCTGGCATTTTCTAAGCCCCAGAGAAATATTTGCATGCCAAGTAAGTGTCCAAAAAATGCACACATATACTTAACCCGCACCTACAAAGAAGATGAGAAAAGGGCTGCTATTACCCTGAACATCAAAAGGGCTTCTAGTTACAGTAACTTCAGTTCACTTACTGCTCCTTAGCCAGGCTCTTTGCCTCCAATTCTGTCCCTGACGCATCTCTTCAGGTTTTGAATCTGATCCCAATGCAATCAAAGGAGAAACCAGGCAGATTGGGGTGGGGGTGGGGGTGGGGGTGGGGGGGCAGGCATTAACGTTATTAGTAACAATAAATATTAAATAAATATTATAAATATCTTGTTAACAAGAAAAGCATCTCACCATGCAGTCACCTAAAAACACTTGCAAAGCTCTTTAACTCGCTAGCCATGCCTTTGAGGGCGACACCAAATTAGAAGACCAACAAGTTCAATGGTTCATCTCCACCCCGCCCACAAATTCCTGTCCTTAGAAACTAATAATGTTATAATAAAGGCCAAATTCTGTACTTGCATGAGAAGAAACTAAGTCCAGGGAGAAAAAAATTCCAGTTTTCATTCATTTCCTACAGACATTTCGTAAGAGTAACCGTGTCCACAGGAGGGATGTCAACGCGTGGCCCCAATGTTCCCAGTGCCAGGCAGGGTGTAACGTGGGCCAACAATCCCGCGCACTCGGCCCTGGAGGCTGCGAAGTTCGAAGCAGTGGGGAACCCACCCCCAGGGAAGCGCTGCTTTCCGCAGAGACGGGAGAGTCACTGTACCCTAGCCCAGCTCCTCGTTCCCCCAGCGGCTCCCCCGGGCGCCGTGCCGCCCAGAGGAGGCCCCTCCGGCGATGCCCGGCTCCTGCTTGCTGTGGGAAGACAGCGGAGAACCCTGAAGTCTCCGCCTCAACAGCAGCTCCCCATCTCCGCCCAAGCCGGAGCTCGGGACTCCGGGGCGCACGCACACCCCTCGCGAACACACCCCCGAAGGCCAAGCGTGTCCTAAAACCCGCGGCACCCGCAACAGGTCCAGGGCAGTAGGGGGAACTTACAGCAGTGGCGACTGGCCTCAGTGCACAACTAGCTGGTTCTTGCCTCGGTCACCGAGGGGGGAGGCGACGAAGCGGACTTCTCAGCCCCGGGGAACTGTGGCGACTGCCGGGGGCGAAGGGACTGCGCATGGGGCGCCAGCCGCGGAAGAGAACCGCAACCGGGGCGCAGGCGGCTCGCCTCGGCCTCACGATCCGCGCCGCGGACCCTCTGTCCGCGACCCGCAGAGTGTCTCCCGGAGCGAGTCTCGGGAGGGAAAAGCGAGCCTGCGGCCCCAGGCGCCGCGGAAGGAGGCGGGCTGTGCACTCGGGGGAGGGAGCTAGAAAACGCCTCGCGCGCCGGCAGCCGCCTGGCGTCTGAACTTGTTCTGCGCACCGCGCCGCCTCTCCGGCTGCCCGAGCAGTCTGCGCCGGCCGCGCTGCGCCGGGCTTTAAGTGGGGCGGCGGGGGGTGGGGTGGAGAGGGTGGGTAAGCCGAGAGTGACACCCGGAGAGGGAGGAGGAAGCGCTAGAAGGCGGCCCGCGGAGGAGGAGAGCTGGAGAAGAGCGTGTCGGGGGAGTTAATCGAGAAAGGAAGCGGGGGAGGGGGGTTGCGGAGAGGGGAGACAAAGCGGACGCGGTATCTCAGCCATTAGCGAGCAGCTGCAACCCTCGGGACCGCGAGTGAAACAAGTTTTCCCGGGTCGGGGCGTCTGAGCCACTCAGGCCCAGCCCGAGGGTCCCATAGCCCAGGAGCTGAGGGACCCTCGGCAGAGGAATGCGGCCCCGGGCTGTGCGCTCCGCGCTGCTGGAGCCCCCGAGATGCTCAAGAAAGGGTGGCAAGGAGCGACCTGGGGTCCACGGCACGCACCCTGGGCGCGCACAGCCCTCGCGCTGGATGGGACACTTGGAGGGAGGACAGTGGCGAGGGAAGGGGCACAAGTTTGGACACTCCGGGGACACTGCAGGTTGGGTAAAGCCGGCTGTGGAGTTTCTCGCTGGCAGAAGGGCCAGGCAGACCCGAGCCTCCGGCGTTGCCCCGGTACCTTCCTTCCCTACTCCTGGCGGCTGCAGCAGCCGCC